CGGCAGGCGCCCCATTCAGCTGGGGGCGGAAGGCGGGGGAGGGGAGGAGGGAGTGATTTCCTGGCCGTGGGCTGGCCGCTGGGCGTGGGCCCCGTGATTACAGAGACTCTGGGACACAGCCGGCTGGGACAGGGATAATGAAGTGTCTGCTGAAACACAGGAATCCTCTGGAGCATGGAGAATCCTACACAACTCCCTCCCTGGAATGGGGCCCATGGGTTATCGTGGTCCTGGAGAAGGCAGCCTGGCCCTTCCTCCCTGACCATGTGGGTGGCTGGCCCCACACAGCTGCTGGTGGCTCCAAGGACCCTTGCAGGCCAGCAAGCTCTGCTTCCTGGACCCAGAACCTCAAAGGTCAGGGTCAGAACCCCAAAGCCGGTCTCCAGGTCTCGGGACACCACACCCACTGGGCCCTGAGGGCTTGTCCAGCCCTGGCCACAGCCCCACCCACGGAGGAAGATGGGCCCTAGCAGAATGAAAGGGAGCCTCATTTTAGAATCTCACACTCCAACCCCAACCCAGAAGGACAGGGACCTTGAGTGGTCAAAAGGGATGTAGATTCTATTCCAGGACCAGACAGTGGTGTCCAATCGGGGCCTCCATTGCCTTGTCTGTAAAATAGGGTTAAAAGTTGTCCTCTTGCTAAGGAGCAGGAACAAAACCAAAGCACCATAAAAGAACATGGTCCCGTTACCTGCCAGTGGCCTCATCAAGGGCAAGCATGTTTGTAAATATCAGAGGGTAAAGAACACTGCAGCTGGCTACCTCAGATGGCCCACTCCCCATGCACGTCACGAGGCAGGTCTGCACTCAGCCCCACCGTATGGGAGCTCGTCTTTCTGATGAACGACATCACTGGCCCACTTCCCATGAGCCAGTAATGGAACTGGGTCTGGCAGCATCCCGAAGCTGGTGCTGGGCTGCTCATCACCTCCAAAGGAGCAGAGCCCTGGCTGTGGAGGGCCAGTTCTAAGGACAGACTGAGGTGTGAGTCGAGAGGCAAACCCTTGCACTGCCCACCAGCCCTGGCAATCAGAGGTGCCTGAATTGTTCCAGGCAGCGATGACGGTGTTTGTGATCTAGTGCGCACACTGGACACGTGACAGCCTGCCTTCTTCACAACACACCCACAGCGATAGGTACTACTGTTCCCTCCACCCAGCAAACAAAAAACTGAGCCAGAGGTTAAGTAACTCAGTCAAGGTCTGCACGGCTAGGGCAGCATCTCTCTTGCAGGGACATAGGCCTCAATCAGACCTTGTGCCATTCACCTTTTAAAACATCAAATTCCAGGACCAGCCGATGGCATAGTGGTTATGTCACTGGACTCCCACATGACCAACCGTGGTTTGAGTCCAGGCTTGGAAATCCCACTGGGCACATGTGTGTGCATGCCCAAGATCCAGGGAGGAGAGTAGAGGAGAAGGGATTGTGGTGTGGCCATCCCCCTGGGGAGTGATTTCTCACTCCCCCATCTCACTGTCTCTGTCTCTCTCTCTCTCTGACAAGCACACACAGCCTAAGGCAAAAACCACTAAAATAAATAAATAAATAAATAAATAAATAAATAAATAAAGCACCGGATTCTCTCCCTTGCTCAGCAAGACATTTTCTAATCTCAGCCTGGCTCCCGATGCCGGCCTGGGAAGCCTCGTCCTTTCACTTCTCATTGGATACCAACAGCCAGGGCTCTAGTGGAATAGCTCTGACAGGCCTCTGGAGTCTGACTGCCTGGGTTCAAATCCAGGCTCTGCTCCTTTGAGGAAGTTACTTAATCTCTCTGAGCCTGTTCCCAAACTTGTACAAATGTGGATGAAGCAATACATTTACCTTCTGGGTTGCTGTGAGGAGTAAGTGAGAAACTATGTCATGGTACCAGCTCTAAGCCTAGCATGCTGTCACTGCGAGCACTGGCTAGTTGTCATTGGCAGTATCTCCATGAGGGTGGTTGGCATTGGCCTGGCTCTCTGGACCCAATCTGCTCTGGAGGCATCAGGAAAATGAGACCCCTAGGGCTGTGAGGACGAGAGCCAGATGGAGTTCAATACTGGATGAAGCAAGAAAATGACAGCGCCAGGTCAGATACTTCCCTAGTGTCTCTCAGAAACCACGTCGGCTGGAACCGGGGACAGAGGTTCTGGGGACATTACCCAGAACCTCTCACCGGGCCTAGAGGCAGCAGCTTCCTTAGGCAGCAGCAGAAACGTCGGCTCAGCCTCAAGCCTGGCAGGGCTGAGCCACGGTAGCTGCACCTAGGTCCTGCAAGGCTTTACACTGCTGTGGCCGAGAGGGTCTGAGTCCAGAACGTGGGGTGTCACTGCCTGGTGCCCCCATCTTGTCGTACCCCAGAGGTGTGGCCGAGTGAGCTGCTCCCCAGCAAGGCCATGCCATGCTCCCGGGCAGCCCAGTGCCAGGCCCATCCCAGCCCTATCTGGCCCTACACAGCCCTGCGCTCGCCCAGCTAAGAGCCCATCCGTGTCTCTGCCCGCCTCTGCTTGTTCTCCACTCTGTGCCCTCCTTGTCGGCTTCGGCATCAGGAGACCTCTTAGTACACGCTAACATCTTCCGGCAAGCTAGGGAGCTCAGGAGGATTTGTTCTGTGAGAACAGGGGCCTGCCAGCGGCCGGGGGTGGATATTTAAGGCTTTGAGAGCCGAGTGATCTCTATCAGGACTATTCTCTTTTTGAATTATTTATTCAGTTTTATTTATTATTATTATTGGTAGTATTTAATTTGACCAAAGAGAGAGAGAGAGGGAAAGTGAGAAAACAACCACCAGGTCCAGGACTTGATCTGCGGTCAACCATGTGGGAGTTCAATGCCTCAACCACTAGCCACCTGTGGGTTCCCAGGACTATTCTTTTTTTTTTTTTTTTTTTTTTGCTACAGGGCACGTGCACTTGCCAGAAAGACAGAGAGAGCTAGAAAGAGAGAAATCACCCCCCCGGGGGATGGGCACGCCACAATC